ACCAACCCTGCAGGTGGCTCAGGGCTATGTTTTTGGCTGTCAAGAATACTCTGTCCCATTGAAGTGTCCAGCCCTTTCATGTGTATTGCAACAGACCTGGGTTTATGGCCAGAATCAGTGTTGCTGTTAGAGCTGGTTGCACTTGTCTTGCTGTGCTTAGCACTGGCCTCGGGGCTTACAGGCAGGAGAACTTGCAGGACTTGCTGGCCTTGTCTCTGCTGTGATGTTTGAGCCTCCTTTCCATCCCTTTTCTCCCTGAGCTCAAGACTGATTATATCTTTTCCTCCAGTGACAGCTCATTGCACACCAGATGGCCAGTTTTCCATTGCTGTCTCTCGGGATGTGACCCTGCCACCCGTTATCCTGGACTCTGTGCAACTGGCCAGCGGCCACAGTATTGGCTGTGTCCCTGTTGTGAAAAACAATGCCTTTGTCATGTACCGGTTCCCACTCTCTGCCTGTGGCACCACTTTTCAGGTAAGAGCTGCAGCTGTCACTAGGCTGGAATAGCAAGAGCTTGCAGACCTGGAAAAACCTGACGTGGCTTTGGCTACTTAATGAGCATCCTACAGACTTCCAGAGGCCAAATGCTGTTCTCCAGTCTGGCATTAATCCAGCTTGACTTTACTGCAGTGACAGTGCCTCGTCTGTCATTCCAGGTGACTGGAGACCAGGCCATATATGAGAATGAGTTGGTGGCATCCAGGGATGTGAAGACTGGGAGCCTTGGCTCTGTCACTAGGGATAGCACTTTCAGGTAGTACCCTGGGGCTGGTGTTTCTGGGTGCCGCTGTGTTCGATGTCTCTAGAGAAATTCCTCCTTGTCACAAGCTCTGAATTCATAACAGGGCGCTGGAGTAGGCTAAGGACTGGTATGTCTCTAGTTAGCGGGAATAAAGCTGGTGCTGATTAGTGACACTCCACAGACTCAAATCTGAACTCTGAAGAGAATTTCAAGTATTTGTTAAAAGGCAGTGTTGGAGGAAAGATCGGGGATATGACTAATTAAAGCAGATTACATTGCCATCTTGAAGAAAAGAGATATCAGAGTGACCTTTCTTATCTGCCTGATCTGGGGTTTTCCTGTCCCACCAGGTTACATGTCCGCTGCAGTTACTCCATCACTGGGAGCTTCGTTCCCTTGAGTGTTCAGGTCTTCACATTGCCACCACTCCCTGCTGTGTCCCAGCCAGGTCCTCTGTCCTTGGAGCTGCGCGTTGCCTCAGGTATGAAAGGTTTGCAGGACTTGCTCAAGCCTCTTTGGTGCAGGGCTCTGGTCTCTGCTGAGTAATAAGGGAGTACTGATGGGTGAACCCAGCACTGCTTCTTCCCTGCCATGGTGGGAACTTACTGACATGGCTATAAAGGATGCTCTCGGGTTGCCTCTTTCTGTTTGTTCCTGCTCTAAAATGGCTCTTGGGTTTCTGCTGTCCCAGATGGAAGCTATACTTCCTACTATACTGACAGCGACTATCCTGTTGTGAAGACTCTGCGAGACCCTGTTTATGCAGAAGTCAAGATCCTTCAGAGAACAGACCCTGACTTGGTTTTAGTCCTGCACCACTGCTGGGCCACACCAAGTAGCAATCCCCAGCAACGGTTGCAGTGGCCTGTTTTGGTGGATGGGTAAGTGACTTGTAAATGGCTTTGGATCAGGGGAACGACCTGCACTTTTTTCACTGCTGGCCTCTCCTTCTCAGGTGCCCTTATGCAGGGGACAACTATCAGACACAGCTGGTACCTCTGAATCTTGCCTCAGGACTACTGTTCCCCTCTCATTACCAGCGTTTCACCCTCTACACATTCACCTTTGTGGACTCCACTTCCCAAGAGATGCTCTCTGGGCTGGTAAGATGCTGTCGGGGTTGCTTAGCTTCCTATTGAGGACAAGTAACATGTGTGAGCAATGAGAACCACTTCATAACTATGAGATTGTTGGCCTCCTTGGGGGGTGGGGGGCAAAGACTAGGAAAATCCCCTCCTGAAACAGGAGGGGAGAGGTTGATGCAAGAAATTCTATTCCTGAGACGAATGTGGTAGAGGTTAAATGCTTCACTGGAGGGGTGTGACAGAAAATGAGACTACTGAAAGGGTAGGTCTACTTAAGCAAGTGCTAGCTTGCTGCCTAAGCTGTTCTGTTGCACTAGCTTAGGGTGTGTGCTCTAACTAATATAATCAATATTCTCTAAACTAAATTTCTTGGCCAAAATAGCTTTTGGTACCTGGGAAGCATCTGAGCTCTGAATCTCATGAGCTTCTGAGCAGTTAAGTCACATGAAGTTCACCATGCCTTGTACTGTTTGCTCAGTGCTCCTGGGATCAATTAATACTCAAAACTGGTCCCAGCTGTACCTAGCAGTGGTCACCAGTGTAGTGGTGCTTGGACAGCTGTGTCGCAGGTGTCAGGGAGAAATGCTGTAGTGCCAGATCTGACAGAGTTCGAAGGTGTATGGTAAAGGTATCAAAGCTGCCTTGCAGCAGAGGGCTCCAAGGCTACAGCCTGCATGTGAAGCAAGCCAAAGCAATCTTTCTGCCTTCTCCCTCCTGTTACTAGGTGCACTGGGTCTGGGTGGGATGGAGTTAACTATACTCACAGCAGCCCACATGGTGCTGTGTTTTTGGATTTGTGGCTCAAACAGTGTTGATAACACACCAATGTTCTAGCTATTTGCTGAATAGTGCTTGCACAGCATCAAGGCTTTTTCTCCTAGCTCTGCTGTTTTCAACCCCAAGTGAGTAGGCATGGGGTAGGATAGAAGCTGGGAGGCAGCAGAGCTGGGACAGCTGACCCAAATTGGCCCAAAGGGGTATTCCATGCTGTATGATGTCATGCTCAGCAATAAACACTGGAGGATTTTGTCTTCCAATGTAGCTGATGCTCAGAGACTGGCTGGGCATCAGTCTGCTTGTGGGAGCGGGGTGGATGATTTGCCTTTGCATCACTTGTACTTTGGTTTTGTTCTTCCCTCTCCTTCACTTATCAAACTGTCTTTATCTCTCCAGCCATGGGTTTTCTTGCTTTTGTTCTTCCTACTCTCTCCCCACCCTGCTGGGGCAGGGTAGGGGGAGTGAGGAAGTGGCTGTGTGGGTGCTTAGCTGCTGGCTGGGGTCAATGCACCACACCAGGATATTACCTGTCTACAGATACTGCCTAAGTGATTCCAGGCTGTGTTCCATTCTTTCTAGGTGTACCTGCACTGCAGTGCTTCAGTGTGCCACCGGTCTGTACAGGAGTCCTGCACCACCACTTGTCCTGTTAGAGCCAGTAAGCGTCCTACCCTCCTGCTTCCCCATCCAGAGGGACAAGGGTCTAGCCTCCAAGCTGGGGGGTAGGAGGACATGTAGGCTATGGACTAGGGCCCTCGAGCCATGGACAGCTTGACAAGGCATTTCTGGTTCCTTTCCACTAAGGAAGGGCCCTTGCCCTTATGCCACAAAGGCAGAGGCCTTCATAGGCTCTTAATTCTGTGTTGACTCACATGGAAAGCTTGGCCTTCAGAGCTTCTCATGTGTTGAGAAGCTGACCTGGACAAAGTTTGCTGACTTTCAGGGCTATACATCTTCTCACCTAAAACCTTTATATTGCTCTGTAGGGGGTAAAAGGAGTGCTGAGCATCCTCTTCAGGACGATGCGTCCCGTGTCTCCAGCAAAGGCCCTGTGATTTTCCTCCAGGATGAGCTAAGATGGGACACAGCCAAGGATGGCCTTGGTAAGCATGCCAGCCCAGCATAGCCAGGCTGGGGAAGGGGGCTGATCTAAGTCTTTCCTGCAGAAAGACTGAGCCCCTAAGGCCTCCCTGTGTCTCACTGGGGGAGTGTTAACTGGGCCTCTGTCCCCCCACAGGAACAGCTCTGCATGCTGCAGCCCCCTGGGCTCTGGGGTTTGCTGCTGCGGCAACAGGGGCAGCTCTGTGTATGGTACTTGTGGCTGCTGTGCTGTGGCAAGGGAAGGTGCCTGTAATGCATGAAATCAATGTATTGCAATAAAGTGGCTGTCAAACCCACTTGGTCTGTGGGACTCCTTCTCCCTGGAGCAGAGCACGCAGGGTTGAACAAGAGTGTGCCTTGGGGACCCTAGCTGTAAGCCTTTGTTTGCAAGACAAAAATTATCCTGATGTCTGTGAGAGAGCTTTCCAAATGTTGTTTTTCTGAATCCATCTCACTTTGGCTATTATTCTGCTCTGAGATTAGTGTTAACTGCCTGCTGCTGTCAAGAGGGAGCTCTTGTCATGGCCTGGGCTGCTGGGAAGCTGCAGACTGAGACAGGGCTGATGCTGGGTGGTGTCTTGCATTTCTGTCAGTGGCTAAGGTGGCCTTCAGAAGTACTTATCTTGGATCCCTCTCAAACACTGAGTACAAGTGCAGCAAAACTAATTAAAAGCAAATCCTGCAGCTGCTTCTCCTTTGGGGATGCAGAGCTGGTATTTCACTGTGCAGAGGAGCTGGGAACTTGCCCCTGAGCTCACTAGGTAAGTCGGGGCTGTGCTCATGTGGCAGGCCTTGGAGGCAGGGATGGCAAAGCACTGCGCAAATGGGCCTTCCTAATGATGCTGTATGTGAACCTACTTCTCTTGCTCTGGAAACAAAAAAGGGTAGGTGGGACTTCTTCTGGAGGATGAGAAGAGGGAAACTTCATTCCAACTGAAAAAATCAAAGGGCCTAGGTGGTTTGAACTCCAGGAAAAAAAAATTCAAACTTGGTTTAAAGATGAGTCTTAAACCTTCATGTGACAGTAGACAGTTAGGAGTCTTCAAAGCTCTCGGATTAAAGCTAATTTGGCACCGCTGTTGGAATAACAGTGCCATGGATGTGCTTTTTTGAGATGAGAAATGAAACTTCCTGTTCTGAGCATCAGGAGCAGTTCAGTGTGGTGTGGACAGTCACAGCAGCTGAGCAGGATCACTCTCAGCTTCCTGAGGTCCTGGGCAAAAACAGTCCAGCAAAATGTTCCTGATGGTAGAGGTGGAAAGGGGCTCCAGCACCCCCCTTCCTGCCCAGGCTGGGGGAGCTCTGTGCTTGCGCTCACACTGAGGCCCCCTTACAGCTGATGGGGTAGTCCTTAAGCAAGTACACTTGAGGGGAAGGAAAAATATTTTTTTTTCTCTTTTCCTCCCACAGGCTTGATTAGAAATCCCCTCTGTTAAAAGACAGGGGAGTAGTCTTAATCATATTGCTTAGGGACCTTTTAAAGGGGAAGAGCAGCTCTTACATACATGGAAGAAAATAACTGAACAGTATCTTGCTTGAGGTAGCAGATATTGTTCTATTTAATAGGCTTCTGCCAATACTGTGTGATTGGAAGGTGTTAACAGGCAGTGGGAACTGCTTTTTAATTCCTTTCTTACTCCAACAAGAAATTTCAGGAATCATCTTACAATGTTTTGATTTTTGTAGCAGAATTGCTCTTCCCTGCTACTTCCAGGATAACCAGTGCTCTTAGTCTTGCCTGCTTTTAAAATCTAATCGGAAGAAAAGATAAGACTCCTCCAAGTCATATGGTGGGAGGGTGAAGGAGATCACAGGCTGGAGAAATCATCAGCTGGAGATAGGCACTCCCTAAAGGAGGAGGCTGTTTGACCTCTGGCAACTAAATGGCCTTGGTACAGGTGGAGCTCTGGGAAAGCAGAGTGTAAACTCAAATGTGCCTTACGACAAGTCTTTAGCAGCTGTCTGTAATGTTAATTAACTGGGCAATTAGAGGAGTAATATAGACCACACCTTTTCAATACACTAGGCAGGGTGCTCTGGCACTACTCTTAACTGTGTGTGCTAGCCAAGATCTAAACACCTTCCTGGCTGCTGCTGCTGCTGCTGGAGTCTTCCCATGCCTCAGTAAGGCAGACAAATATTTGCTTAGAGAGCTTAGATGCCTGTGTGGAGGCTGAAGGGGCTAGGAGAGGAGAGTCCCTGCCCGGCTGCTCCCTGCTGCCCTCCGTGGGGTTGTTGAACTGTCCCAAAGTGGCAGGGAGCTCTGGGCATGTAGTCTCTGGGGAGCAGGTAGATTCCCCTGCAGGGACTGTTCCTTCTGGTGCAGAGCTGGATCTTGCTGTAATGGACCTGCTGCTTAGTGTAGGGCACATGCAGTGATAAGTGGAGGTGGGTGAGCAGAGAAGTGAACTTAATTCCCTTACCCACTCTGTGAGAAGTCTTCTGTGCTTAAGGCTTGCTATTTGGTCCCTAGCAGGAGGGGAAGGGCATGAGCAATGGTGGGATGTGAGTGCTGGTGTGGGCTGAAAGCTAGGCAACGCAGAGGTCTCCTCCTCTGGTGCATTGTCCCCCTCTTCCTAGCCTGTTCTCCTTCTCCACCGGGGTGTGACTTTCATTGCTGCTTTGTTCTGCAATTTTCTCTCCTGCAAAAATGCACTCTTTTCCTTCTACCTTCACAGGTGGATTTCTGGCTTTTTTTTTTCCTAGGCCTCTACTTTCTTTAGTTGGGTCTCATTGACTTTTCTCCTTTACTTTCTTTTGAGTAACTGCTTGTGACTTCTTGTGTCAGCACCCTCTTTAGCTTCACTCCATACTGCCTTGTTATACAGCTGAACTAAAGGTGGTGTGGGTTGCTGTAGACACTGGCTTAGACTCCTGCAGGTGAAGGAAAGCTGCTCTGTCCAGGGGGGTGCCGTGGGCTGTGAATGAAGGAGAAACTGAGGAAAAGCAGCCCTGAGGCCAGCTAACGCCTGTCAGTTGAGGCTGTTGTGCGGTGCTGCTAATGAACCCAGATTTTCAGAAAGAAACCCCAATGCTGAGCATCAGCACACTCTGTCCTCAGTGCCTTCACCCTTTCCTCTGGAAGTGGTGTGTGCTGCCCTGCTGCCTCTGCCAACTCTGCGGCTTTGGAAGCAAAGCCCAGCAGCACCTAATACAGGGCTGTTCAAAATGAACATCCATGCTCAGCCATATCTGAACTTTCCAAAGGCTTTCCTCGTCCTCTGGATCTTTGAGAACAGCACCAGCCTCAAAAGAACAAACTTGCTTCTTCGCCAGAGCTAAAAAAGTTCTTTAAAAGCTTGGAGGCAATGACTCCTTTCTTGACCAGCTATGCTTACCTAAAACCTTAAATGTGTGGCAGTTGCTATACTACAACCCAGGTGTTCATTAATAAAATATCTGAAAACAATTATAGCAAGTGATGCTTTTATTTAAATTTCTTATGCTTGTATTACAATGCATCCTGAAGTGGAGAACTATACAGTATGTTACATGTTATAAATATATTTAGTTCTGAAAATACATGAATATATTTCATATAATGCATAATAAAAAAGAGTGCTAGTTCATTTTAGTTTAAAAGAAAAAAACAAACCTATAATGTAACTGGAGGTGATGGTGGGGAATACCAGTTCACAATGCTATGTCTTAAAACACTTTAAATTCAGTTTGCACTGATTCACATTCCTTACAGTCTCTGTAAAGCTGGAGGGATAATGGATTTTAGTCCCCTGTATTTATGGAGATATACAGACTATTCACAGAATAATCAAGTTATAAATCTTTCTAGCTTTGGATGAAGCTAGCAAGATACACAGTGAATAACCAAGTTCCCGCAGCAGCAGCTATAACTGAAACATTAAACACAGCACCTACTACAGGGTCCTAACTTTGAGTCAGCACAGACTGGGGTGTCTGGGGTTTTTTTGATTGTTTGGGGGTTTTTTGGAGATACTAAGTAACAGTAACAACCCTTCTGAGTACTTGGAGCACCAGCCCTGGGCTGCTGACTTCGCTCACCCCTGCGAACTACAGCTGCCCTGGGAGAGCATGGCTGGGGTATTTTGAATCTCAGAAGAGATCCTGCTCTGGTTTTGAGGACTCCAAGGGCTCCAGCTGATCCGGGTAAGCAAGGGGGAAGTGTCTGTTACTGAAAGGCTAAGTCTGCTGAAGTTGATCCATTTCTGCTAGCTTCTCAAATCTTGGTTCCCAGGCAAGTTTGGGTTGGGGAGGGATTTTTAAACAGCGATTGCTTGACTTGCAATTATATTGTCATTTAGGGGGTAGAATAATCTTTTAATAAGAGGCAAAGCTGGTTTGTTTAAATCTTTACTCCATGTGGATTAATTATTGTGCTAGTACCAGTAAGAGCTGGTGTGCAGAGACCACTGCAACCATGGGACCTTCAGAAGCATGCGCTGCCTGTCCCTTGAGTCTGGAATCAGTGGACGTGTGGCAATAAGGCAGCCACCAAACACGGTCAGTGTTACGCAGTTGTTAATGTGGCCCAAAAGAGCAGCAGCTTATTAAGGGTGTATGTATTGGAATAACTCTTCCTTGCAGCTCTGCTCTCCCTCTTGCCTTTTCCCAGCAGAGAGAGCACAGGCTGAGCCGTACAGCAGCGCGACTACCCCACCTACAGCGTTGGGCCCCCACCTGCACAGCCAGAGGACTTAACTTGTAACTTAAAAGTAGGAATTCAAGCCTGGTTTCCCCCCTGCAAAAGACTGATGGCACAAGAGCTGGGCTGCCTGGTGAAGCGGAGGTGTTGCCTTGGATGCACCCTCCAGTCTCTCGAAAGGCTGATTCCCGCAGTGCCCCTCGCTCTGGTCTCTGCGATGAGCCTGCACGATGCCACCTTCTCTGTAGGGTAGCACCGGAGTCGAGGGGCCTCTGTCTGCAGAAGGAGCAGGCCCACAGGATTGGAAGCTAGTGGTGGATTCAGGAATGGCCTCGTAGGAAGTCTTGGCTTTACAGACTTGGTTTTCCTGTTGGATTCCAGTAAAATGGCACAGCTGGCCAGATGCTCTTCTGAAGGGAGGAGCCGTGTTGGGGACAAGCAGAGACTGCAACTCAACCCCCCCCCAAGAGGGAGGAGTCTGTCCTTCCAACAGCCACTTCTGCACCAGGCAAGGAGTCCCTGGCACTCTTCTAGATGCTGCTGTGTCCCATAAAGCTTAAGTTTATTTCAGCTGGAGAAGGTCCCCAGAAAGCAATGATAATTTAAAAGCTTCAATGCTTCAGGTAATTCTGTTCCAAACCCAGTGAGGAGGAAGAATTTCCAAATCTTACTTAAAAGTCTCTGTTGGTTATGTTGCCAGGATGCTAACAGCAATTTTCATCTGTGGCTTGACTTTTGTAAGTATACTTCAGATTCAGAAGTGAAGCGGTACGTAGCTGAGCATGCATCTGTCCACAGACCCTTCTCAACCTCCCCCTTCCCTCTTTCCACCACCATCTCCAGCAGAATCTACCAACCTTATGGATGCAGGTTGCACAAAGTAACCCTGGGGTTCTTGGGTTCGTGTCCATTGGTGTTCCTACTTCGCCTTTCTGAAACAGAAACATGCAATGAATGTGAGAGATTAGAAAGGGTTTCTCTGCAGTTAACCCATGGGCTGAGTTGGGGCTGAGCCTGGTTCTCTTTTAGTCTTGGTTATGGGCAGATTGTCTCTTTCCCAAGACATCTGGTTGGCTTTTTATTTGAGAGTCTTTTGACTGACTGCAGATAAATGAATTTCCTGCTGTACTTTCTGTAAAAAGGCTGCATGATGTGGTCTATACGACTACAGACGCCTTTAAATTGTGTTTGTATTTAAAAAAAAAAAAAAAGTGGGGGACTATTAAAATGAAGGCACATGGGCCAATCCTCAGCTGGCATAAATCCATATAATTTGAACTTCAAAAATGTGACTGTCCTTGCATGTTGGAGCATGTCTGGATGAGGGAACTGTCTCATTTCTGTGCTGAGAAGAGGCAAACACCACCACCCCCAACCCACAAAGAAATACCTGCTGCTTTACTTATTTTACCTTGTTCCATTTGACCCAGGTTATCAGAAAGGCCATATGTTTTCATTCTTTGTATTCTGCCCCAGAACAATCATGGAGTTCCTCTCAGTTTTCCTCAGCTCCGAAGACATAATATCTGGCCTTAACAAATGGAAAAATACAATTAAAGTTGACAGCGGTCAGAACGCATGGCTGTGTTTTTAGCATTAGTATGCTGTGCATATGTACCCAACATCCAAGCTGCACCCAAAGCAGCTTCCCCCTCTCCAGTCTGAAATTCCAAAACAGACGCTGTCCAAATATTTGTGGTAGCATCCAAAAAAAGAGAGCTACAAAATGCAGCACTTGACATGGAGTCACAATGTAATGGAAGGACATAAACATCATTTTGTTGAGAGTAACCAGTATTTTCTGCCTAGCTGGAAGCGAGGGGGAGAGACTGGTGGGTGAATGTCACAGGGAAGTTAAAAATTCTGGCCTGAAGCAGTAAGTAGGAAATGAGACATTTTGAAGAACAACCCTAAGCTAGCTGCTGTGGACTGCCTCCAGCTTAATTTTTTGTTCGTTACTTATTGCATACGATTTAAAGAAGTGTAATGCATCCTGTTTGGTTGTAATGGCTTAGTTAGCTCAGGCCTCTAGGAGACTTATGAAAGACAAACCTTTTGGAACACTTTTTAAAAATAGCTGCTGTTTAAGAAAGAAAAGCTGTAGTTCTGGGTTTTTTTTAATGCAATATTTCAAAGTTATTTACAGAAAATAAATAGCTAATAGCTATTTATTTCAAATAATAATAGCTATTTACTTCAAATCCTTGATTTGAAAAATTTTTCAACTCAAAGTCCTGACTGATGCGGTGCAGACTCTTTATTTTGCCAGCTACTAATTTGTTTGCTTTTTAATCTAAATGTTGTCCGATTTTTGTTCAGCTCTTAATTCTTTTACAGCGGAATGGTCAAACTTCTGCCTTGATGTTATTCTTTAATTCTCTGGCTGCTTCTCAACCCTGAGTGCAGAGATCTCCCTTGGTAGCAGTTTCCCATGTGAAGAGCAGCGTTCAGACCTGAATCTGAGGCTCTAGGGCCCTTTTCAGCCCTTGCTATACAATACCGAAGATGGGTTTTTGTAATGTTAGAATTGCATTGTCCTTCCTAACTTACTTCACCCTAACCACAAAGTAGTCGTCATACAGCAGCAAGCTTTTGGTGGCTGTCAAACTGAAACTAGCATCCTTACCATGAAAGATATCGTAATTTGAGGTTAGCTCATTCCCACACAGCTGCATTAAAGCTGCAGCTCCCATAGATACACGGGTAGATGTGGCTGCACAGGAATGACAGGGTGCGCTTGCGCAAAGAAAAAAGCAAAGCTTCCCAAATTAGATCCTGCCCTGGAAAGGGGTTGGGGATAGCATCAGAAAAGCTCCTGCACAATTGCTTTCATTGAGATGGCTGCCTCTGTATCTCTGCCAGGGCTGGAACAACTGCTGGGCCGTTCTGCTTCCCGGCAGCAGTCACGGCAAGTAGCGGGAGACTGGACGTCTCAGTCTGTCCTCAGACTGAGACGTCTGTCCATCTGTTAAGGACTGTCTGTCCTCAAAGGGAGCTAGGGAAAGTAAGGAAAAACGATATGAAGGTGCTAATGCACTCCTCCTTGACCCTGGATTTTTGGGTATCATTTGTAACACCATTCTAGCCAGAGACAACCTCACACATTTTATAATGTCAGATGGAGTGGCAACGTACAGCCAATAAATTGATCAACGTAGGCTCCTGCAGAATTTGCAGCCCAGCTTTCACAAGCCAGGCTGGATTCTCTCCTTACCGTTCAAAGCAGCATCAGACTGTAATTGTTTAACGAGGGCAAGTATTTGACCGTATGATGCTCCACTATCATTTGAGAACAGTTTTCTGTCCCTAAAACCAGTCACAGTGGAAAGGCAAAAAGTTCTTGTCTTGGGGGTCATTTGAGCTGGAAGTAAGTTCCTTGCTCTTTGTGGAGGGATCATTCTGCAATGATTTGGGGAAGAAATCTACTTTTCCTGCCATAGGTCAGATCCAGGTCCATGTGCTGCTTAAGTTCATAGCACCACTATCAAGTCATTCATCAGCCTGTTCTGGTTCTTGGCACAAAATAGATGTTGCTTTGCGGGAGTAAACGTACTAGCAGGAAAAAGAAAATGAAATGAAAACCTGAGCCTGTCTAGAACAATGTATGACAAACCACCAAGTCTTGTGCCAGTATGTTTACCTTGGCAGGCACCCCTCTCTCCCGCTGGAAGAACCAAGTTCTCTCTCTACTATGAGAATTCTTTTGTGGATGTTAAAAAAAGACAGAAAAGAAAAACAAAACAACCGCCCTGGAGCAGATCATTCATCATATGCAGAGTGGGAGCACAAAAGGGGATTTGCTTTGACCTAGTTACAAAAACAAAAACAAAGAGATTTTCTCTAATTGCCCAAATGACTCAAGTGGGACTGGGTGTCAAAAGCAACAAATCTGCTTCCTTCAGAGCTGTATGTTAATACAGGGTACCAGGCTCCAACCTGTTCCAGTTCGAGACCTTGGGAGATGTCTCTGAAGCCAAGGAAGCCCGGGTAAGCAAAAGCCAGCCAATTCCATATGCCTGCATGTACAAACAGGACCAGGAGCCAGGACAAACATGTTTCATAAATTATGATAAAGACAGTGGCTTTAAATGCTGAGAGTATCAGGGCTTCAACGTTTGCTTTGCCAAGAGCTGCAGACAGGTGAGACTTTCTTGCTTTACCGTTCTGGTACTGCTGTAGTAAGGGTCTGGCTTTCTGTCCAGCAGCATTTGCAGGGCTGTCGTCCACTAAGCCTAACTTTTTATTTCGAAGGAGCCTGAGGGGGACTACGTATCCAAAATGCCATAGGAGCAAGGTGCCCAGCTTTTCCAGGCACCAGTGAAAAGCCCAGCGTCAGTGCATTGCTATTGCAGGGTGTGGGGTAAAAAGAGCAAGAGCAAATACAGATAGGGCTGGGGAATAAGTGCTGGGAAGCAGGAGAAGAGGAAATGGAGGGAGATAAGGGGCATGAGTAGAGGCAAGGGTTTTATGTAGATATACGGGAAAAGAAAGTTAGTGAAAGAAAAGAGAAAGCCAGTCATCAGCTGCAGAAAGCAGCCTGGAAAAATCAGCGTACAAGATCTCTGGGGCTGCCCAGTTACAGCCAGGTGAAAAATCATCCGTTTGGCATCTTGTACGGCGTTTCCATGACAGTAGTAGTTGTCCAGCATATGTGTGAAAGTAGTAAAAGCTATTTCTGTTAGGAGCTATTGGGCTGGCCCTTCATTGGAAGTACATTGATTTAGCCAGCTGAGGACCTAGCCTGCAATTCTCATGCAGGGAGCACTGGCAGTGTCCTCAGTGCTGCAGAGAAAGGGCCAAGCGGGAGGTTACAGAGACAGGACTTTTCTGAAACCCAAATAAAGTCCTGGTTCTATTCAGGTTTAGAGGGAAGGTTCACAAGAGTTTGTATTTTTTCCCCAGCTGGTTCACCATCTATTTTAGATGGAACTGTTTGATCTCTTTCTGCTTTGTGTTTCTTTCAGTTTCCCAAACAATAGGAGGAAGCTCGCCTGTTACGTGTGCTTGGGCCCCAACCAAGCTTTTCCCAGCTGGAAAAATCACTCCATGAACTACAGAGGGTTTTTTTTCCCAGCTGTAATTACAAGATTCCCAGTTCTCTTATGCATTTTGTAAGGTAGGTACAGGCTGTCTAAGGGGAACAATGGAACATTCCTGAGTGCTTAAACAACTGCTGTTTCCCCACCATCACCCCCTCTAAAACCTGAGGAGGGCTTAAGCACACTTGAGCTGTTCTGCTCAAGGTTACTGAGACCTCAGCTGAAAAAACACAGGGAGGTGCACAGCTCCATGTAATGTTCCTGCTTTGGTGAGTAAGATACCCAGGCTCTTCCTGTTACCTGATTATATACACAAACACCCCAAATTCACCAGACCAGCTGGGAGGACTTGGCAAGCGCACGGGGAGTATCTGTGCAAGGGGTAGCTGGCAGCACTGTCATCACCTCAGATATAGTGTGTGGTGCGTGTCTAGCTCAGAGGCCAGGCTGTAACTAGCCTGGTAGACAAACTTGCCCAGGGGACCAGCATGGATCTCTTAATAGAAATAAGACCTCATGCTTGATCCAAATGTTCATCTACAGCAACAAGCCGGTCCCACCCATGAGCACACGCTCAGCAAATTTCATCTCCCCTTCCTCTGACAGGAAACCTTCCAGCTGATCCTGACTGTCCCATCACACATCAAATGCAATAGGGGTTACTGTTCCACTGGATGAAAGGTGTGAAGGTGGACAGAGGAGAGTGTTAACCTTGACTGTAATGCTTAGGAGGGAGCAGAAAGACAAATAATTAGACTATAGAATGGCTCTGGCTAATTGTCAACATCCCCTTGCCCTGTTGGGGATAAGCACCGTCTTCTAGGGACCCTAATGTTTCCATTATTCTCATACAGGTAACATTATCCAGTTGGGATCTTGGAGCACGTAGGCACTATGGAAGCAAATGGCTGTGCTGGCCAGGACCACCACATGCAATGGAGAGAAGGTAAGGAGGGGTCTTCTCCGGCCAGCAACAACCAGAGGTAAATCTCGCACCACCTCCTCCCAACACTAAGTGCAAGTCTCCCACAGCTCTGCCTTACCTGTACAACTGTGGGCAGGACCTCTTCAGAGCAGCGGAGGACAGCCCCAGCTTGTTCTGGTTTCTCAGCCGTGTCTTCCTCATAAGATCTCTCATTCTCCCCCAAGCATGGCTCTCACCCTAGGGAGCAAAAAGAAACCACAACTTGAAGGACCAGAGGCTTGTTGCTGGCAGACCTCATCTGGCCAACATATGATACTTTGGGGTACTCCAGGGTGGTAGGAAGAGGGGAGCTTCTTTATTTCGGACAGGTAAGAGTCAGGTCCCACAAAAGAATTTTTAACACCCTGCAATGATGCCCAGTGGCCAGCCTGTACCTGTATAGGACACAATGAGACAGGATGGGACAACTGTCAGTAACACCATCCTTTTTGTATTTTGTTTGGTAACATTTCCGTGTCTAGGACCCTGCTGTTCTTTCTGACTTAAGGTTTCAGAGTGAGTGCGCTTCACTGGTGAGGGCTGAGTAGCTGCCTAAAGGCACGTTTTACCTCATTGTTATACTGTACTAAAGGAAAAGATCGGTTTGGTTTCCTACCTACTCACATGCACCCAGGGGGGCCTTTACAACAAAAACAACCCAAATAAAACAGCTTGACTCCCTTCTCCTTTCTGTTAGGCCAGGTGCATTGGTATCAGCCCTTTTCAAGGTGGTGACTTTTGTGGACCATGAATTAGAAGAGATCAAGCCTTTGTCTCCCTGTCACCTCCGCAAGCCACAGCTATTGGGCACTCCCATTTGAAATGGTAATAGAGATTATCAGGAGGTCAGGGAGTCTCACGAGGCCCTCCCTAATGTTTGTTCTCTCTGGGCTGAGCTCATCTGGACTCATGAACTGAAAAGGAGCCATGCATCAAAAAATTTCATGTTTTTTTGCTACATTGTTTTAAATTTCCTAAAGCAATGGCTGGAAAACCTTAGGAACAGAACAAAAAAGACCATGCCTCAGGACTAGCGTAATGGGGAGAAACGGTTCCCATTTCAGTGAAGTTCTCAAACCATTGTCACGTTCGGGGCATTGTTCTGCCCTGTCCCGAGGTGCCTTCCCACTGTGCCACCAGCAGAGCCATTACTCCACGAGTCGGGGCCACCTTGGGAGCACAACCTGGCGGCTGCCCAGCCGCGCGCGCCAGCCCAGGCAGAGCCTATGGCGGCAATTCTGCTTGGAGCTCTGCTGAGTTTTCAGTTCAAAACTTCAGATGAGGGCACGGGCTCAGCTGAAAACTGCAACACCAGTTTCTGTGCTATTGAGTTAATTGCCCGTAAGTGAGACTGTTTACTCATGGAAATAGCAAACCTTTGTGTTTACTACTAGGATTAATGTATGCTGTGGACAGGTTTTGGAGGCCTCAGCAGTTAGTCCCTCCTTGTGCTGGTGGTGTCCCAGAAAAGCAAGCCCTGCTAATACCACAGCAAGCCTGAGCCGTTGCCTGTTCCTGAAGGCTAGCTCGCTGTTGTCTGCAGTGGGGGTGGGAGAACAACGGACCACATGCAGTAAGTCATAATACATATGCGTCTGTTACTTTGATAGTAAACTTCGGGGGTCAGTGAACCTCTTTTGTTCATGTATAATGCTGTGTACTACAGGGGCTCGGTCCATGATAATGCAGGTACAAGTTATATTCTGCAAAGGCAGTACATACCGAGATGTTCTTGCTGACGTCCAGACCCTAAAAACAAAAGGCAAATACATTAATAACACGACAGCGAGACCATCTCACAGTGCTGGGAACAGACTGGGCTCCGTTCTCAGCTCTGCCCTGGAGTCCACCCGTAGCCTTGGTCAAGTCCTTTATCTCTTTATGATTCAGTCCCTCACGTGTGTGATAATCTCTCTCTTTTGTATTTAGACTGCCAGTTCATGTGTATAGCACCTAGTAGCCTGGGGACTGGTGTAGCAGGATTCCCATACAGTACCCGCACTGTAGAAGTAAATGGGGCATTTCATGCTCAGGGTACAAAATGCAATACTAAGTGACAATACTAAGGTGTGGTGTAACAAAGGAGCACGAGGATTCAGTTTAAAGAGTGCGGATCTTGATTCTGCAGTCCTGTGAAGTCATCAGGGCTTCCCATGTGCTTAAAATAATGCTCATACTCCAGAAGTTGGCTGGACACAAGCCAGAGCATGGAGCACCTTTCAGGATTCAGCCTTGATTTGGTTTCTGAAATTCATCGAACTGTTTGCAACCTATTTGCAACTTTGGGGAGGAAATTTCATGAGAAGGTCTTTCCCGTGAGAGACCTACTCCTTCCTCTTTCCTGTTGGGCCGGGAATACTCTGATTAGAGCCTCTGCCCTGGCATTTCAGCACTTCTGATCCCCACCGGAACCTGAAAGTGCTGAGGCAGCCACAAACAGTGGGAAAGAAAGGGAGGGGAAAAGCATTCGTCCTGGCTCCCTTGGACTTCAGCGACACGTTTTCCCTGAAACACGCTTTGGGGATTGCAGCTAATTGCACTGATAGGCTGCCAGTCTGGTAATAAGTGTTGCCAGCTAAGGATTGACCCACTGAAACTTTTATATGTGGTAATGAATGCGTGCTTGGTTTAATCTCGCTAGCAGCAGTAGCAAAGATACTTATGACAGAGTTCACGTGTTGAGTTACCTGGAATTAGCAAGGGCTAAAGCCCATGCTGCTGTCTGCAGTGCTCCTCTCCCCTGCACCAGTGCTCTGTTTGTGCCTTTCCTGGCATAAAGACATAGCCGTTGTCTTCATTTAAGGCTGGGAGCAGAGGCACAGAGCACCCTGGCCCTCACTGCCCCGGCCCCATTTAGTAGCAGACAGGGTTGGCTTGTTCTCCCGGCACTCCACTCTGATCTGCCTGAGCAGAACTTCTCCCTGCTTCTCCCAACAGGTCCCACTCGGAGTCTGGCTCCAAGCTTATCACTCACCTTTTTTACTGCAGGGTCCTTTGACGGAAAAGCCTGTCCCTCAGCCATACTACCAGCTTCTCTGAACTCATTCTCCTTGTTGTTCCTATTGTTTGACGACTTCCTGAGCCCCACCATCGGCTGGCTGTTTCCTGATTCCGGGTATCTCTCGCTTCCTGCAATGAAATGCAAGGAGTTGCTCACGTTTCTCAGCAGTGTCCTGCTAGGACAGCCTCTGGGCAGTGCTGCCAGCAAGCTGCAACTCCAGATGGGATGAGAACCCTAAGGACTTAATGATGGGATGAGACCCCATGTGTCTTCATGCCACACTGCAGTGGAAAGAAGGTAAATGCTCTAATAAAGTGTCTGACTACGGCAGGACTTTCTAATGGCTTCCTCATGGTCTTATTTTCCTTCCAGGCCTGCTCTGAAACTGCCAGGAAAGAGCATTTCTGAGCCTCGGCACTAGAGATCCCAAAGACCATTTACACTCTGACTCAATCCTGCTAGGAGGTGTGTTGATGTTCTGCGTTTCACCAGGTATTAGAGGCAGGCTGAAGTCCAAGGTTTGAAATAAACTGATCAGCCTCGCTTAGTGGGCTGGTTCACATCTAACATTGGATCCAGACTTTTCAGCTGGCTTTATCATCAGTAGGCTGAGCCCAGTCTTTCTCAGCCTTCTGGAAAAGTTGGTCTCTGGATCCAAGCTTTGCAGCTGGGGCTTATTTCCACTTGGTCTATAGAATAAGTCATCCTCCAGGAATGTGTTCTGTGCCTGCTTGAGAGGGCAGGAGACTAACAACAGGCATAAGGCTTTCCATCTTAGATCAAATCCTACCTTGGCTGGGGGGATTTTAAAGCCGCATGGAGGGGCTCCACTAATGGACCCGTTCAGGCATGCTAAGTTTCCAAAAGTGAGACCCATTTTATAACGCATTTGTCCTAATCTTTGTAGCCACAGCTGCAGAGCAAAAAGTCCTGCTTCACACGTGTGAAGCAGCGTTAAAATCCTAGGTGTAGACAAAGCATTTTAAAACGCATCTCTCAGCTTTCCAGCTAAGGTTTAGTTCCACTAACGCCTTGCTCTGTTCCCATCTCTTTCCTAGGGAAAAGGAAGCTGCCGGTCACCTTATTTCACCAACTGGTGGCAAGCAGGAGGGCAGGTTAGAGGTATTTGAACTCACCATTGCAGCTGTTCAGCTTTTCAGCGTTCGCTCCTATTTCTGGGATGATGGAAAGATCAGAAGGGTTTCCAGTCTGAACCAAGAGGCTGTGAGGTCTGCTCCTCCCAGCAAAAAACGTCTTCACGTCTTGGTACGAGTTGAGGAAGACGCTGGCAGCTCCACAGGAGCAATGCTGCAGAAGGTACTCCTACACCAGACAAAAAGAAAGTATGCAGACTCTCAGGCTGTTAACGGCCCAAGGTAACCGGGCGGTGCAATGGTACAGGCAAATTGCAGTCATTCCAGCCCAGGGATGCCCAGCCTTGTCTGGGTTCTGATGGGTCTCAGGACAAATTATTTAATTCTCTATATTACCAACTCCAGGCTGCTCAGCCTTTTAGATTTTTCATGGGTTCACTGGTGTTTAACTTTAAATTGCCTGATACTCAGCATCTTTCGGGTTTGTTTCCCAGGAGGAATTGAATACAAGTTTCTAAACACAGAGCTGCTCAGCTAAGGCATTTGTGTAAATAAACAGATCTGTTATAACAGTGACTTGCATTTTAAGATAATGTTATTTGTTTTGGAACGTGCACAGACAACAGTATCTTGTATTTTTATTGATGGGATGCCATAGTTCGCTTGCACGTTACCAGTCAGATTCACTGTATGTGGTACTTCAGCTGGTGTACTTCTGCCGTAGCTGGTGTGGTGGGAAGGGGAGATTTTCTACCTTGCACAACCACGTTGCACACAAGTTTAGTAAGGCAGGAAGCAAGGAGAGCTTTATCCAGCAGAAGTGGAACTGGAACCAAACTGTGTATTTGTGTTGGAACCAGGACAGGCCAACACCAGTTTAGCACCTCTGGAGACCCCCAAGCGATTCACAGTTTTAATATAACATCTTATCTGGATATGTTGCCACAGCAGCATGGCACTTTGCATTACCTACACCTTTGGGAGGTGCTTTGAAAACCTGATGAAAGATGCTGCTTTTGACCCATGGCATTAAAGATTTCCTTGTAAAGCAAAGGATGTGGAGTAACCGTGTTCCCTTTGTGTCCCAGGATCAAAAGGTCATCAGTCTCTGTGGTGATGTCTGTATAGCTCTCAAAACAGCACTGGGAGCACTGGCTATCTACAATCCTCATGACCAGCTCTTAATACCACACTAAGCCATCTGCTCTGGGGGTTGTGTCTTTGCTAGCCATGTCTGGGGCATGGAAACCTTTCCGTGCTCATAGTCTGCATGGAGAGTGAACATGGTTTGGAAGGTAGCCTTAGGATGCCCTCCAAAATGCAATGTGGACAGCAACCTCCACATCTCATGGCAAATAGGGGTAATAGTGTTCCTCTTCTACACAGAGCGGCTGTGACTCTGCAGAGGAAAATGACGGAGAGCTGCTTAGATACAGGAGATGCAGGCACCACAGAGATACCTGAAAGAGAGCACCCAGTTCTGTAGAGCACATTGCAAGATGCAATGTTATATCTGGGGGTCCAGTTCCTCACTGAACAGTATGGGACAAATGTGGCTGAGAAGGCACTGCTGAGAGATCTTGGAAAATACCAAGAAGATAAAAGTTTCAAATATTTAAATGAAAGCACGGTGCCTTTCATTTCAGTGGGAGCTGGGGAGGAGGGGGCACGTACACCAGATGAAGATTTGACCCTGAATTTGCAGCTTGGAAGAGTTACTTTGAGCAATGACTCACAGTTGTAAAGCTTCAGGAAATGCGTTAACAATTCCCAGGCTCTATGTAGGAGGCTGCATTCCTCTGAGCATGAGAGATGGGTACAGGGAAATGACGGGCTACTCTGCTCTGCAACCTGACTCACAACTTGGCTTTGGCTCTGAGAAGGAGTCAGTCACCTACTGCAGATCCCGTCGCAGCAGGTGGGAAAGGAGCACCGGGGGAGGGATGATGTTGTCGGGAGAATAAAAGACTTGCCACAGCATGGCTGGGAAGAAATAGCTGAGTGTGACAAACCCCTTCTGTTCCTTTGGGGAGTGATAAAATAAATAGAAAGGGAGGGGAGGAAAAAAGCTGGAAACCTGGTGTGATGGCCAAAGAAAAAGAACTGAGAGGCAGAGGTGGGGTAGAGCTGAACAAAATATGCAGGGGCTAAAAAATGCTGTTTAGGAGAATGCTGAAATGACTTGCAAATTTCAGTCAAATTCCCCAGCTAGCTCTGGCTGATAAAAAAAGACAAATGGGAACACTGCGATGTTTCATGTCAGAGATTCTTCATTTGGCAGCTCAGAAGTGCAGGAAGAGAAAGAGAGCATGGAGTTGGGTTAGCGGCACCGCTGCTTCTCTTTCCCGTTGTGTCTGTTTTGTGGGAAATTCTGGGATTTTGACAGTTTGAAACCAGAAGCAAAACAAAGAGCTTTTAGTTCCAAACACAATTGCTAAGGAGGTCCATGGAAATGTTTTGTTTTGAGAGCATTGATGGGGGGAGATGTGTTCTTGGGAGTTTTCAACTGTAGAGAAGTAAAAGTTGCTGACTTCAAGCTGGCCATCACATGAGGTGAGAGGGATGCTTTTTAACTCGACAGAAGCAAGCACATCTGGGAAACAAAATTGAGCAAGAACAGAAACCCAAGCCCACTGTAAGGGAACCTGAGCCCACTGTGGTGGGCGAGGGCTCCCTGAAGACCAGAGCACCCAGCCCAGGTGGGTGTGGGGTCAAGTAAATTAGCATCTTCCCTCACACAGACTTGGAACTTTAAATCTGGGCCTTGAGTATGTCATTTAATGGAAGATACCATGGTGTCTGCTTACCTCTTTTATCTGGCTCATCTTCTGCTCTTTCTGCAAGCTGCACACTTGCTTTTGGAGACGCAGGTTGTGCTCCTGCAGCTGCCCAATCTTCTCAATCAGTTGGCAAATGTGTTCCAGGTATCCGAGACCAGATCCCAGGGCTTTGCTGTTACCTTGGTTCACCTGCAACGACAATGCATCTTGGACCATGGAGTAACAGCAGAGCTATCCTTACTAGCAGCTGGGAGCCCAGCACACTCCTTACGGTCGCGTGGGCCGTGGTAAAGATACTTAGGCTTCCTCTTGCAAGGGGCTTTGGTTATAGCCAGATCTGAGCTACAGCGTTGCTTGCTTACAGCTCTTTTCTGGATTACTCGGCAAGATGCTCCATCAGAGGGACTCTTCTGACTGATCACAGGCTGACACAGAGGAGAACCTCATGACAGCCTTTTTCTAGTTCCACCTCCCAGGCTAATTTTTCTTTTACCGGCCACAGGACCCTTACAAACAAATAGAGTTCTACTGTATGGTATAGATGGCTGGGGTTAGTATGGCTCACTTAGCCCACAGCCCTCAGTGCAAGTCACGCTTATGGGTACTGAGGCTGAGTTTGGCTCCCACTCAAAGGCACGTATCTGCAGGTTGCAGTGATTTGCTGCTTTGTGACCAACTTGGGGGTACGTTTTGTCTGCCTTTGGCAATCTGTAACCACTATGGCACAGCTGAACTCAGACCCTCATCACTGGTGGGTCAGTGAAAGGGACATGTGCCTGAACCAAGCTGCCAAAGTGAAAGAATATCTTTCCACTGGTCTTCAGCAGAGCCCAGCTTACGTCCCTGCTGCTACTTTCTCAGTCATTAAGAGATGCCTGAAGAAAGTCTGCAGGATCAAGCTTGCTGTCTGGCTATGGCAGGATATTCTGTACCACTGATCTCTCCACACCCAGGATCTGCAGAGTCTCACTGCTGCTCAGCAAAGGGCAGTGCCGGAGACAGACCGTAATCCTGCGGCAGAGGAAAGGCAGCGGTGCTTCCCAGCCTCCCACTCTGCACCTCACCATTTCTGGCCCCAGGACTTCCCCGTGCACAGCAAGTGTCCTCTCCCGCACCGCAGCGGACTCTGCTGAACGTGCTGCTAACAAATACATGCAGAGGCTTCACTTCCACCTTGGCGCTGCCTGCTGATGTGCATGTGATATCAATAAGTAAAATAAGCCTCGATCTTTACAAAAGCAGTGCTCTAAGTTTATCTAACTTCAAAAAATAAGTTCCTTCTACAAAAGCAGGAAGCTTACTCTGTCTCCTTTCCCACAACAATCTACATTTTTGGGGAAATGCCAGCCTTGGGACTCTTCCTGTCTTTTCATTATGTCAGAAAGCTCATGGTGTGTTCAAAAATAATCAACATTAGAATTTACTTCTTTTTAAACAAATGATGATACAATGTTATTTATAAACAGGTATTATTATGTCCAGATGCTTTTGTGTCTGAGGCTGGGACAGAGGTCACATGAAATCATATAAAAAATGATAACTCCAAGCCAACTAGTCATTCACATTCATGATTTTTATTTTCCTTTCGGGCAGAGCCTGCAGAAGTGGTGGCAAGACAAAGGTTACTCAGCCATAAAACTGAGTCCTTAGTGTGTCTGTGCAGTGGGAAGGGGCGCAGCCCCAGGACCCACAGGGAGAACAAAGCCCACGTGGTGCCTGCTGGGAAAAGCTTGGATCGAACGCACTATAACCAACATATCTGAAAGCAGTTAGGAATTTCGGGGTGCCCAGCTCCAGAAGCATGATTTTCAGAAAGTACATGAGTATTAGCTTCTGAAAATCTGTGGGGTTTTTTTAAGCTGTCCCAAAATGGGTAGTCAAAAGTTCCTCATTCTCCTTGAAAATGTAGGCTTTCTGCCACTCTGTACTGTCTTTTTGCACATTTAACAATTCCCCTTTCTGCCAGTTTGCTGTTGCAGTGACTGATGGCACGTCTATATTGCCCTACGGAGACAGTGAGCCAAATCCAACCCCTTTTATAGCTGTAGAAACACAAGGCAAGACTACAAGGGATACAGGAGCTCTTGGAAAAGAGGATGAAGTAAAACATTTGGCTGTAACCTCAGGATTGGGGAGAGAGCATGAAGCATTTGACTGTCACCTCTTTCAGGCAGGGACCCTCTTTTTGTTCCATGTTTGTCCAGTGCTTAATACTGTAAAGTCCTGCTTCGTGTCCGCGGCTGCTAGGTTTATAGGGCAAAAAGGGCAGGGGAGGAGAGGAGAAGGTGGCCCTGGTTTCCAGTGCTCTGTGCCTAGGGCTGAAGGCACTTGAAAGCAAAGGCGTGTTTTGGGCAGGCATGGAGAAAATCTGGCTTTTAGCAAAAGTTAGAGAGAACTTCCAACTCCTGAGAATAAATGCAGGTCCCCAGAAAATGAGAGGGAAAAGGTGTAGAGCAGTTGCTCCAGGTTTTGGGGCAAGGTGGATTTTACCCCTGTAGGGGACCTAAACCAGACTAAAGGTTGGACTCAATATGCTGGAGGCCCCTATTTCACAGCCATCCTTCAGAGGCTGCTCAGGGCAGGCAGTTTGGGCTATTTAATAGGAAATTAATCTGCATTTTATTGAAGCGATCCCAGCAAGCGCAAATGAGCAAAAGGTAAATCAGGCAGAGCCTGTGGTGCCTGCCCATCCCTGCAGGGCCAGCCACCTCTGTGGGCAGCATGCAAGAGTAAACGTTTTTAAGGGGGATGTTTCACCTTGCTTGCCCTGCCACAAAGTCCGTTAGCATCAGGATTGTTGAGATATGGCAGGCATTCAATACAGAAAATTTGTGTAATTTAGCTGCTTGCCCCCAAAACAATTGCTCAGAGAGGGCCTCTCTAGGGACGCTTCCAGGACTTTCTTTTCCATAGACTGGAAATACCTAAACAGCCTTCACTTTCTTCTGGTCATGCCAAGTGCAGCGTAGAACCTGCTCTGTCACGTTCTGGTGTAAATATTTTCCTCTCAGTACCTGTGAGAGAGTTTTATGATAGCAGCAGAGGGTGAGCAACCATAGGAAAACTGCAAACATTTTCCAGGATGAGTCTCTTCCAGTCTCTGTCCTCCCGGTTGAAGCTTCCCAAAACATTCACCTAAAGGGACTGGATTTTTTCCCATTCCACACATGGGGATTGTCAAATAGTATTGGAACAAAAGCCACGTGCCCGTTTTTGAGTTGATGAAACCTATGAAGAAGGAAGAACATCTCACCTACTTTTTTGAAGGTGAAGATGCAGAGGACCAGGCAGACACAATTTATGAATCAGATGGTTAAAGTTGTACTAGGAAAGTAACAACATAATGTGTAAATAGGTGCCAGATTTTGCTTTCAGGTGTATCAGACCGAGCCAGACCCTCAGCTGGAAGAAAAGGAATCCAAGGCTCTCAGCTATACTATGCTGAGTTACTCCCATTACGGTTTTGACCCTGCAGAGTTAAGGTGCACCACACTGACTTCACAGCCACGTAACTAAAAAGAGATCTCTGCCCTTGTGAGTGCTCACCTGACTAAGTTCTGGGGACAGGTTTTCAGTACATTTATCACTGCTCAGCTGGTAATAAACTGTCACAGTTGTGCTGGCCCACAGGTTTCTTAGGAAGCTTAAAAATACAGGATCAGCATCTGCACTGGGAACTTTGGCTTATTTAGGGCCCTCCAGTCAATATTTTGACTGGTGTAAAATCACATTTTTCCTCTGAAGCCACCAGAGTCGCAGAGGTGGGAGCCTGTCCCTCTGTCTCTGTGTACGTGTAACATCGTGCTCACTGCAGCCTCTGAGCAGTACAAAGGTTTGAAGTTCAGTGGGAGCTGCAAGAAAGACGGTTGTTTTCAAGCCTCTTCTCCAATTGAGGTATAATCAAAATCTGCATTTCTGATCATCCAATCAGCACTTTGTCCTGCCTCATTTCAGCCATTATCTGTTACTCTGATGCGTGCGATGGGCTTTTCTTCAATTGGGCTCTATGGAAAACTGTCCTGGGCTGGACCTGGCAGCAGGAGCCGAAGCTGATGGGCAGGACTAGCTTGCAGGCTTCTTCATTCAGACAAGAGCTCGCTGATATTTCTTGCGGTGACTTAGGTTTCTGCGCTTCATGCAATGCTCTTCACTTTCTCTTGTGGATAGATTTGAGTTATACCATGCTCCATCCTCCCATAAATCCCTCACTGCCCGCTCCCGCCACATTAGCATGGCCAGTACGGAGGCAGTATGGTCACTGCGCCAACAGCCAAGGTACGTAATTACAAACCTCCCATCACGGGCTTGGAGCAACTGATTAGTGATGCCACAGGCTGAGTGGGAAGCATTTGTCACTGGAAGCTGACAGCACCAAAAGGCTTGTGAATAACAGGAAAGAGAGGGATCGTGCTGTATATTTCTGACGGCTCCACCCTGCTGTCCAGGAGGGGCTGCGCTTGCTGATAGCTTCTAGTTTCCTCTGAGCGGCACGCACAGGCTACGGGGCTGTCCATCACAGGTTGCCTGATCCTTCCCCTGAACCGTACCGCTCTCTGCAGAGAAGTATTTTGCCTGCTTTGGCCCAGGATAATTAGCACTGTGTGAATAATGGGTTTTTTTTCATTTAGCAACGACAATGCTCCCACCCTCTCCTTCTAGGAGTATGGGCTGACTTTAGATGTAAACTTTATGGAGCGTGAGGAATTGTTTGCAAAGCAAAAGCATCAAAAGCTATGTATCTTCAAACTGACCCCAAACATTTAATTTGGTTTAAAAGGAAATGCTTTTATTTAGGCTTCAAAGTTCTTTCACTTGTTGTTTGACAGCTTCCACTTTCTTTCATCTTTCTAAATGTAGGCAAATCTCAAAATAACGACAGTTCAAAACAAAAGATCAGAAAGCTTTGTTTAAGAAACGCCAGACTGAAATGATTTGATGTATATTTTCAGCCAAAGCAATTCACCAAATGAATCCAAACGGTCAAAACATTTGGTCATTTCCAGTCTCTCTTTTTCAGCATTTTCCTTCCTGTTCTCTTGAAAGTGGCCTCAGCACTGAAGGAGGCTGGGAGGACACCAAGGCACATCCTCATCCAGCGAATGAATCCTTGCTCAGCTACGGTGTGCCGGCAAGCACAGTGCTGTTGGCATTGCCACAGCCAGCTGGGCTGGGGAATCTCACCTGCTCTCCTGTTACTTGAAAGTTATATTCCCAAAACCAGCAACAGAACTAAGGAAGTCGCTGTCACCTATAATTAAATAATGATCTCACCTGGCGTTAAATAGAGATGCAAGAGTGCTTATACTGGCTTATATCAACATGAATTTAATGCAGGAGGAATTGATTCAATGGAACAATTTGGTTTGCCATGTTCTTTGCCAAGCAGAGTGGGAATACCCTGTACTGGCCTGCTATCTTTCAGACAACATTGATTGCATTTCCAGGGGTATCTGAGTCCTTGAGACGACATCAGGCCAGACAAGAGATTGGCTCCTAAGTACCATGTTGTATTTTGGACAGGTTACAGGCAAATGTGAAAACCACAGAGTAAGCCTGGAGCAGAGCCTCAGCTGGGGTGAACCAAGATGCACCCATCAGCTGTATGGGCAGATGATCATCTGGACATCATTTCTGAGTCGGTCTCACTCTGTCCTGCCTCTGTTGCGTGACAGTGAGGACAGGTCAACCTTCTGCAGGTTTGGCAAGGGCAGAAGGCTCTGCAGCTGCAGGAGGCTGTCCCTGTGCTCTGAGGCACACAGCACAGCAGCAGCTGCAGGGCTGTGCAGCAGCCGTGGGCATTTCTTGCCCCAGTCATCTTGGGTGCTACCTGGCATCCCAGCAGGTTGGAGAGCGCTGCTCTTGAGATACAGCAGCCTGGAGGTGCTCTGTGAAGAGGGGCAAGCTTCCCCAGCATCTAGGTCACAGCTGTATTTATACAGCTCAAAAAACAAACAAAGAAAAGTGCTCTGGGGCACAGCGCTTTAGCACTCAGCCAGTTAGGATATTAAAAAGGAGGGGAGATAAGCCACCAAGAGCTTCATTTCCTCTGCAGCTTCTTCCTAATTTATTCTCTTGTTTATTTAAATGCTCTGCTTTGGGAAATGGAGGCTCCATTTCACAAAGGATTTAAAGGAATTTCACGGGCAGCCAGAGCTGTCAGACAAGACCAAGCTGGCTGCAAACCCTCCCGAGCGTGACAGAGAACTTAGGTAACTTTTTATAAAGTCCCCTTGTGGTCAAACTCTCCTGCTCTGGTCCTTTTTGAACTCTCTGCCAAAAGGCCAGGTCGCTGACTGTTTGGGAACTGTGCAAAATAGACATCTGTCTTCTGCCATGTGTGAGACAGCTCTGGGGAGGAAGAGGCTGCTCAGCTCGATCGCGTGTTGCTTGTACTGCCTCGATATGCAATGTTAACAGATATGGGCCATCTCTGACCTTCCTCGCTGCTTGGGAGGGTTTGGCATGCTGGAGAGGAAGGCCATCGCCTGATGGTTCAGGGCCTGAGCAGAGAGGTCATGGTGAAATTATATGCATAGCACACAGCACTTGTCACTTGGCTTCCTCCCACCCATCTCCCATTCCAATTCATCGCTATTACCGCAATAAACGCCCTAAAAAGAAATCCCCATTATGCACCGTTTGATGTTTTTGTTGTGCTTGTGTGACCCTCTTCACCTGGTCTGCCCTTCTCCTTTCCCTTTGCTCATGGGGCTCTTTGGTCTGTCTCTCTGTCAGGAATCAGCTCCCCAGTTAGATCTTTCCTTTGCTGGTTCACGGAAGCCACCACAGCGGGCAGGCAAGGCAGCGGTCTGTCTGCGTGTCGGCAGCATGGGGCTTCAGGCAAAACCACTGGGGCAAGTGCTTGCCAGCATCCACTATGGGAGAAGGTGCACAGAAGGGCTTTTTATTCTCCTGTCAGTGGTACAGTGTACCCAGCAAGGGGGAAAAGAGAGACTCTGGAGGGGGACAAGCTGCTGAAATTATGTCTTTGCAGTTTGGTCCATCACAGCTGTGCTGGCAGGTTAAAATGGGATCTCTGTCTCCAGCCCAGCAAAGATTTGAATTTGTGCATCAGCTCCTTGCTCACTCATTATTTGAGAGAGCTGGCTCAAGAGGACAGGACAGGCCTGGACAGGAATGAACTACCCCTTAGACAAGTTCTTTCCAAATTTCAGCGCCCCAACAACAGTCCAGCTGTTCCCAGGAACAGGAATAACCTGACCTTGAAAAAGAAACTACGTTCTGATCCCCGTCCCATGTATCAGAGGACGATGACTAACTTCACAATCTTCATTTTAAGACCAGAATCAAGTCCATCCTCTAATCTAGGGCTTTTTGAAACATCAGATCTCCATCAGCCATTAGTCATCCTTACCCAGACCTGATCTATGTGAATTACTTCAGAATTTCACTGCTATGAAAAGAGCTCTTAAAAATCAATTACCATGATTTGCTGCTTACAACAGTTTCAGGGGAGATTTTCTAACTCAGTTCATGACAAACAATAGGACTTGAACCCTGACTGAGGTATTTGGACAGGCTTAGCTCCAAGATTCAGTTTCAGTGTTTCTTACCTCACTCAGTCTACAGCATTCATCCATGTATTCATCCAGACTGTCGCTTGTGGGGTACTTCTTCAGCTGATGTCCATGGATCTGAAGGTCTTGCATGCTGCCAAAGTTCTCTGGGAAATTGTCAGCAATTGTCTTTGGCTCTTCTATGGGATCTGGGGTGGGAGGAGTGTTTTCCCTGGGAAGGTCCGTCTCTGGGGTAGCTTCCTTTTCCAGCGATTGCCTTTTGCTCTGGTCAAAATGTTCATCGGGACTTTCTTCCCGAGGGACGCTGAAGTCTTCAAGGGAAGGTGTAGGACCCTGCACAGCATCTGCCTCCTGGCTGTAGTACTCAGCTTGCTTTTCGCTCTCTGGATCTTGGTGGCTGACTTTTCTGGCATGCTCTTTACATGTTCTCATTATCAGATGGTCAATTTCTGGAGAAGAAGAGGTGCTAAGCACGCCTGAGTCACAAAATGAGTCTCTGCTGTGAAGCACAAAGCTCTTCTCTGAACCCGTCGGCGTTGACGGAGAATTAGCCCCGCTTGGCAATTCAACCCCCGAGTCCTCAGATTCAAATTTGGAGAATCTGTGAAGTCGGCACTTGGACTCGAAGGCGCTGAGGTCAGGCAGTGTGGCTACATAGTCTGTACTTGCCGGGGCATCTGCGTAGTCTGCATCTGCCAGTGCGGCTGCTGCATTCGGATTTCCCTGGCAGCCCGGTGGGAGGCTGGCGCCGGGGAGATGGGACTCTTCCGTGCAGGCTGTGTCAGCTGGAGCCTCTGGGATTAAACCTGGGTTTTGAATTCCTTCATTGCTCAGTATCTTCATATGTGTTAGCACGACTTTGTCCTCAGCAGGTGGGCTCTTCTTACCTGCTTAAAAGAGAACAAGGAGAAGGTCACAAGAGGCTACAAAACTCGGTGTATAGTGCATCCCCTGAGGGATGTGAAATGTAAAACTTTCTATAGTAAGGTGGTAGAGGGGGGAAGCCCAAATTTGTTTTTCTTGAGCTATATGAAGCTTTCTTGTAGGCTTTGCTACAACAGAAGTGTTGTGTTTCATAGACCCGGAGTCCTTCAGGGGGAGTCATAAAAGCACACAGAGTTCTGATCTAGTAGATAGGTAGAAAACAACACATGTAGCCAGGTAACTTTTTGGTGATTACCTGCATACAGATGCAGAGAAGTACCTGTTCTTTTAGCACGATAGACATTAAATTGAGGCTAAAATATTTCCTCTGATTGTATGTATTCTGAACCAGCAGAAAAAAGGGTAAAATGAAATCCATCTTTCTGCAGACTTAAGTGAATTTGGGGTTGCAACAAGCAATTTGCAAACTGTTTGGCATTCTCTGCAGTATTCTCTGCACACATACAGGTGACGAAAAGCAAGTACTGATAGGAAAAGCAAACGAGGCACTGTAGATTTTTTTCACTCCCTGTATGGTTTTAGCTATGAAGTCATTTCTTTAAATGAACTCTTACCTTCTTTGTGAAGAGAAAGTATATGGAGGCAGCTTTGTTCATGAGCTTTTTGCACATGGACAAAGACGACTTGTTTTCACATCACAATTATTTTACACGGTAACGTGGTAGAACAGTCTCTGGATGAAAGGTTTATCTACAGGAGTTGTAGAACTGCCCCCAGGTTTTCTTACTGTTTTTCTGAATCTAGTAGTTCACAGTGCAGACTTCTGGCTCACACTGGGATGAGAGCCAGTGTGCATCCATCCTTTACCTAACTGCAAATCTCAGCTCCCAATCCATCTGTTCATGGATTTCGGACAAGGAATTGCTGCAGTACAAAACTTCAGTTTCTCTGGTATCTTTTTTTTTCCCTTATTAGAGCCTGACCCACAGCACCTCAGAGGGCTACAATGCGTACACTTTTCAGGATATCTTACTTCCTACTTCATTTCCTTTCATTCCCCTCTCTTCCTTCCTTCCTTTTTGCCTGACATCAAACCAGCAGCTGCTTCACAAACTCACTCCTGGTAACGTAACTATCCCTAAGTAGGCAGAGAAGCCTGGGACCCCTCACTAGCGGTAGAGCGGGGAGGGCTCTGCTGTGCAGCCCTCCTTCATGGTAACCCAGAAAACTCCCTGTTTCAGAAATAACCTGTTTTCCAGCCTTCCCTCCTCCAGCTTGCTTTCTGCAATGTCCACAGACAAGGAAAACTTTTACTCATTAAGGCCAAACTAGCTATTATTACATGAATAATTTTCTATTTTATTTAAATTCCTTCTACTTGATCTTGAGAATTTCTTGGGATAGCATTGAAACATGCCCTTTACTGTCCATAGGCAGCCATAGATTTAATATTTTACACTGGATTTTTCAAAAGGGCTGTCAGTGATAAATAATCCCACCTGATGGGCTTTTTATGGCACTTGGGCACGTAGTGCTTATAGCCCCTTATAGAAGATCTTGTTTATCATATACAGAATTGCAGCTGCCTCCCTTGGCAGGATTCACAGCCGTCTCTCCGCTGTAAAGAGCCACATTTGGGACAGTCGGTGCCAGACCGTCAGCAATGCAACACTAGTACATTGCTGTGCTGGGGGACAAGAGAAAGACATTGCCCACGGAAATGCCACAGGAAAGCTCACCAGGAGCTGCCTGTGCTGGGCTGGGTAACAGCTCTTCCACTCCTGGGATGAGCGTGATGGACCCTGGACTGAGGACAAGGAATAGGGAGCCTGGTTTGCAGCTTCACGCACAGCAAAACACCACCTGTAAGAGGCAGCTCGGTGCCGGGTCTTGGAAGGAGGAGGTGGAGCTGGGTGATTGCTGATTTGGAGTGAAGAGGATCTACCTGCTCAGTTGCAAACACCTCTCAGCCGTGAGAGGTAAAGCGTTGTATCTGCATGAAAAATAGAAGGCTAACAGGTTCTTCTGATGGCATCACCACCCCAGATAGCACACCACCACCACTAAGAGTCAGGAGGAGAGTGGCTGTATTGCTGCACTTTCTTTTTAAGAACAAATCATACAGCTGTCACTCTTACCAGGAATTACTATATGCAATGGTAGTCCCTTCCCACAGACTCTGATTGCCTTCACTTATTAATCATGCCATGCTTTCCTTTGATTGGAGATTCTCTCACTGTCTTTCAATCTGCCCCTTTTTTTCTTGCTTAACCAGTTTCACCCTGGCCTACACAAATATTTCTTTGTCTGAAATCAGGAAGCAGCATATTAAAATGAGGTCTTGCCACTTACAGAAGCAGATGTCAGATGTTTTAATTCATATTTTTTTTATGACTACAAAAGCTACAATGTGTACCAGAAAGCTGGACTGGGGTAGAAAAAAATAAAAAAGGAGATGAGATCTCTGACCCCCTGCGTGACGGTCCCCTCAATGCCAACAGCTCCAGTGCTGAGAAAGGTCTGTGCTGTGGATAATATGGTCCTTTGCTTTCCCCATCCTGTGGTCACTAGCAACATCGAATGGTTTCACAACAATTTCTTGTTTATCTGTTCTAGGCTGCAAACCATTGGTCTCAGCACTGGCAGGTCCTAGAAACCACAGTGTTTGAGCATTTCTGATTTATCCTCCCAACCCCTTGCGATGATGCAAAACGTTATCACCCACTCTACCACAAGTTCAGAGTGGATGCAAAGGATGGCAGGATTTTGCAACATACTTAGGCACCTCATTCTCACTCAATCAATGATACTTTCGCATGGTCAGTGAGGTCATCTGTGCTCATGATTAAGGCAGTGACCTGAAACTCCAGTTTTTCTTGCTGCACCTCAATGAGGGAATAGTCTCTTCTTCCCCTCTGTTAACTGGGTTATGGAAACTAAACCATGGGGCTTCCAACGAGCAGATTGTTTCTGCTACAGATCTTGACAGAGGCATACAAAACCACTCAGCTCTTTCAAGCACATTGCCAACAAATACCAGAATGGTGCAATTAAAGCTCATCTGTGCAATTACAAATAAAAAAGAAAATTGAGCCATACCCTCAGCTGCTATAAATTAACTCATTACCAGGGCCCCTAACAGAGTTGTGTCAGCTAATTCTGGCTGAGGACTTGGCCTGTAAGTGCTTTGTACAACAATACCAGGGGCCCAGAGCAAAGCAGGGAAGATGGACTCCTGCTTGGTGTTGGAGGGAGTGTGCTGCAGGGGTACGGTTACAATGCTGTGCAGAGGCTTCTGAAAGGAGGTGTGAAGAACTTCAGAGAGCTGAACGGTGGCATTAAGGTTGGTAAGATGTATTTACATGTGCTGGAGGCCACCCAGGTTTGACACTGCTGCTCCTGGGAAATCAGCCAAGATTTGTTGTTGTTGTTTTTTGTTTCCTTTCCCCTGGATTGGTTTTCCACACCCTTTCTGGGGTGGGGGTAAAGTACCAAAAGATGCTGCTTTCAGACAGCTGGCTGGGACACTGGTATGGCAGCAGGGGAGGGAATGGAGTTGTGTGTGCATGCTTAGGATTCAGTATAGCTTCCTGCAGCATCTTTGGCAACGCGTGCCCAGGCCAAACATTGTCTCAGGTTAACTTGTGCTACTTGCTTAGTAGCCCTCCAAAGGGTTATGTGGCTCTGTAATCACACGAGAGATAAACAGGGTTCCCTGAGTTGTAATATAAGCCTGTAAGTGACGGTGACTGATTATGTGTAACCTTGGGCAAGTTGCTGGACTCCCTGTGCTTGTACAGTTGGAGAATAAGACTGCTTCCCATCTCATGCGGAGGTAGTAACGGTGAACTAGCTAATAACCGAAGGTGATTAGTAGGGAGTGAAAGGAATTGATGTGTCCCAGCTAAGTCTCTAGAACTTTGCTTTGCTTTGTTTCCAAATTGCTTTCTAGGATACTTCTCTGTTGGCAGTTAGCAAAGCCTAGCAGAGGAACTTAAATCTTTCAAAGGTGAATACCCTCCCATCAGCTGCTGTCCCAAAGCTTTCCTTTCCTTGGAGTTTTAAGTCCAAGTGTATTTTTCCTGTTGCACAATAACTAGCAGCTGCCAGGGCACAGCCTAGTGCATTAATGTAGAGATTTCTGACCTGAGGAAGGAGGGCGGGTATCTAAACATGAAATTGCTTTCAAGCAGCTTCTTTATCCCAAGTAAGTTGCATGCAAGAGATGCATTCAAACAACTGCCCAGGCAAAACTCCCAGGCATTCCCAGTCCTGCCCAGGCCCAATTCCTGCAAAAGCTCCCACCGTTCTAGTAAGCCAAGCCAAAGCCTGTATTCAAATCCCCATGCTCCAAAGCATTGAAATCCAGGTCCAGTTTTTTCTTTTTTGCATCTACACCTGTGGCTCACAGCCACGTTTCACTGGCAATTCCTTCAGTGCAAGCCCCGTTAAGCTCTGCTATGTCCCTGAGAGGGGTCCTTGGCCTCTGATGCACCAACTCAAGTGTCACAGCACATGGTCTTCCGATGCATCTGCTAATGGAAGTACTGATGGTGGGAAGAGGCCAGGCTGGCAGTGGGATGAATGCTGCTAGTGGCAGTACAGAGCTGGCCTGTGCTGCTCTCCTCCCTTCTGGTTTGTGCCCACCCATCTTCTCAAAATGTTCATCCTGATTTGTAGGCTGCTTGGCATGGGGAGAGTCTCTGTTAAACCTGTGCACAATGACTGGCACAACTGGAGCCAAAGGTTTGCTTGTCTCCGTCTGCTGTTGTGTTACAAATGATAACAGCATTAGAGCCATGGCAGCCCTCTGCTTATCCCCAGAGCTGCTGCAAGGTTCATGTGCACAGTGAACCCATCCATGGCGGGTGGTGCTGGCAGGGTGGCAGTCCCAGGGAGAGGCACAAGGTGAGCAGCCTAGAGATGCTCAGAGTGCCTATTCCTCTCCCCGCTGCTGTCTACCACAAGACATGCAACACCCTCTAGATTTAAGTCCAGAAGACCAGTACTTTCCAACTGTAGTGTGCCACAAGAACAAAGCACCAGAAACAAAGGGCATCACCAATGACCTGGGTTTCTGGAGTAGCAGGGATTTTGCACAGCTGCCCTGCAAAGGAAGACCAAAGTCAAACCCCATCATTCCTACGAGTCTGCTTAGCCCTGAGCACAGGAGCGAAATACACATGCGAAGCCCCAGAAAAGGTTTTTCAGCATCCCATAGAGGACCCGCACAGCCCACTTAGTAACTCCTCTCTAGCTCCAGCTGTGCCAAGGATTAAATCCTGTGCCATACAGGACAGGTTCTGTGATGGGGCTGTGGCCTCCGAGTAACAGACTAAGAGATGATCATCAGCTTTTGAAGAATCATTAGGCAGCAGTGACTAGTGAGCTGGAGTCAAACTCCTGACCTAGAAATGAAAGGCTGCCTCTCCTATTCAGTCCTTGCATTCCCTCATTTTCCTTCCTTCCTTTACAAAGTCTCCCTTTAGTCCTCTCGCTGCGACACGTTCTCTAACGCCGCTGGCAGTACAGCTCAGGTGGTATTTCCCTTTCACTGCAGAGAGGGGATTTTTTTTTTTCTCACCAATGATGAGGTCTCGATTTCCCAGCATTTAAGAGAAAAGGGGTCACTTCCTTTCTGAAACAATAGGCATTTTTTGCTGCTGACTCTTCCCCTGACATGTGCTGAGGGGTGGGGCTGGGTGGTGGGGCTGTGCTGGCACCTCCTTCTCAGCACTAGCCCACCCAGCCGGCCCCCACGCAGAGCACGCAGGAGCTGTGTTACTTTCCTAGCTGGGCAATGGCTGTCCCTTGCATAGCCCTGTGGGCACAGGGAGTCGTTGCATGGACAGGACCCCAATACTTAGAAGAACTGGATTACTCTTATGCTGCCAAGAAACCCAAAACAAAGCAACCCAACAAACAAACAACCTCCACCCAAGAAAACCCAGCAACTGCTACCAATTGGCCCTCTGGGAGGGAAATCTATCTCCACAGAGCTTTGCCATGGACTTCCATGGGGTGAAGATCTCCCCGCTTCCTGGTGCTTCACAGGCCTCTTGAAGACCTGATGCCAGTCCTGGCGATGGCAGGGGTGCTGCTTGACACCAAGTTTCCGCAGACAATCTGCCTTCTCAACGCCTTTCAAGCAAAGCTAGTCTGTGAGCATGCTGCTGTATCTTGGGCTACCCAATCTGAGCGAGGGCTTCTCCTAAACGATTAGGGCAATCATGAGCCTAAGAATTTCTAAGGGGAGCATATGGAAAGGTCTTGTGTCTTCATTGCACCAGTTACAACCTCTATCTACAATGGCAGAAACTCGTGAAGGCTTGAAAATCACTGTCATAGAAATGGTTTTTATTGGAATTGTGACTGAAAAATTCACATTTGCAGAGGAACATACTCCCATGTGGTAACTGAATATTTGCATGATAGACCCAATTCTCAACATTTCAATTTATCCAACTGGGGAACTGAAATGCATGTGGATTTCATGGGAATATATATACAATTTGATTTGCTTGAAATGTTGAATGCAAAGGAATAATTACAACAAAGACGAGATCTTAGACAGTCCTTGAACAAAAAGCACAAAGTTCTTGGATTGTTGGCTCCAAGGTGCTCTCCAGTCTCACTATTAGTTAAGTGCGTGAAGTTCCTCCAGATGATAGTTTGGTAATATAATGTGACCAGAAATGTTATAGATCCCCCATAGCTGCAGCTGGTAATGATGAATCCATATAAAATATATGCTGAGAGAAAGATAACAGGGTTCAAGGACTCTGACTGAAGAGGCATTCATTGCTTTAATACATATATTTTTAGAAGAGGAGGAGATAATTATAGGTCTTTTCAGGCATTTGAGGAGGAATGAGAGGGAGATTGATTGTTTACTGATGGATATAGTTGGGTAAACTAAAGAGGAAATGGATTTCCAAGTAGAGAGGCCACTTGACATTTTTACAGCTTGCTTCTATTCATTCCAAGTGACCTGTGAAGTTTTTGAAACAGAGCGACAGGTCTGATAGATTAGTGACCTCTGGCAGAAAGTCCCAGGGCACAGCAGGTCCCCACAGACCACCTGGTTTATCGGAGTTACTTGTGTAGGCTGGCAGTCACCAGTTTTTAGACCAACACTTGACCTTGTGCATAGTGCCAGCTTAAAGAGCCTCTCCCACTCGTTACTGCATTTACCCTGCAAATTATTTCTTTGGATATATAGCTCAGTGGGAAAACCAGGCCAAGGATAATTTTGGTGCACAAGGATGTGTGCCCCAGTCCTCCCTGCTCTGCGGCGTAACCAGTCCTGGGGTAGGGGGGGAGGCTCAGCTCCCACAGTCATCTGTGGTGCTTATTTGTGAGATTTTGTCAGGGAGATGACAGCTCTCACTGAAGACCTGCAAATCCTTCTCCTTGGAGATTCCTGTGTGCTCCTTCAGGAGAAAGGTTCAAAACCTTAAATAAAGGAAATGGTGCTCTCATGAGCAGCCCTGTATAATAGCAAAAGATTATTTGGCACGCAGCTCGCTAATGTGTCTGAGCAGAAATTGAAAACAATGGAAAAAAATATACCACACCTTGGCAAAAACTGTCTAATCTAGGAGATCTTTTCTTGCCCATCTGATTTGCAGGCTGCCTCATATCGCAAAGGAGTATTCAGGCAGAAACCAACTAGGAGACAGGAGGCCCTTTGCAAGGATGGAACTTGCCCCCCAGGGATGACAGGTATGTAGTAATTCAGGTTTTATTGCCTATAATAAGCTTGGATAAACAACTGTTCAATAGCCCCACAGACCAAAGCCATTAAGACCCCAGTGCTCCAACTGAAGCCAAAGGAACTCATGAATCATATCAGAAAGGTCACTGTTAACCCATTCTTCATGTGCAGTCATTGCTGTCCCTAGGCAAAACCCCAGAGAGCTGCTTCTGCTCAAATGAGGTAGCAGTGGGCAGGTGTAACCATACCCTTTGGTACGTCTGAAATCTTTCATGGTTGCAATAAGAGTGGTGACAATTTTTGGGTTTGTTGCTCTCGCTGGAGCCACACAAGGACCTTGGTGAGATTATAAGGAGGAGGAGGAGGTGGTGACGCAGGGCTCTGTAGCTGCAGTAAACTGAACTTGCTGATACAAGAGGTCCTGCCACCCTGATACTTCTGCTCTGAGAGCCCCCCCAAGGAGTGGGGGAAGATCCAGCCTAGACCTGTTATTGAGCTGCCACTCTTAAAAAGAGATTTGTTCGGTTTATATTCTCTATCTTAAACTGCATTTGGAGATGCAACTTTAAAGTCCCTGCTGCAAAGCTTGCAAGAAACAGCATATTCTTGGCTCTTTCTGAGTAGAGATGGGGGGTCCAAACCAGGACACAAATAATATTTGGTGCCCCTTTCCAGCCAAGGTGATTAGGGAGTGTGGTCCCTGTTTCTTATTTGGAGAAATTCTAGCTGAATCTCTTTGTGATTCCTCAGTGCTCTGTGTAATAGGTCTGTTTCCCCACCAAAACTTCCACCTACCCCTACGACAATACTGCTGTGTCTGGGTGAGGAGGGACACTTCCATGTGGAAGAGCAAGCTTCCTTTCCCCTCCTAACCCTGCCATCAGGCTTGCACTATATAGCTTGGGGGAAACAAGTCCATGGTCAAATTACATCCAGGGAAAAAAAGAACAGTTTCTACCATACTGTAAAATGGCATCTCTTCAAACACTCTCCACGTCTTGTGGTGATGCTGGAGTGCTCTCACAGCAGCACTGCTCTAGAGCAGGTCATTGGGTAAAAATGCAGTTTCCAGACCAAACCCAGGCAGAGCAACACGCTTTGGCAGCCCTTGCTAGTACAGTGCGCAGCAGTTACCTGCTAGGCCACCTCAGAGAGGCTCCAGCTCACACTGAGCTCTGAGTAGCTGCCCCAGAGCAGGAGCGCTGGGAAGCACAATCCCAGCAGTGGGTGCCTGAGCAGATGCCCTCCAACGTGGCAGCTCTGGTGACTCCACAGGAGCTGCCTGCACTGCAGCAGTCCAAGGAGGCAGGAGTTCAGCACGCAGATGGAAAGTCAGGACCCCGGGAAGGTATAACCGCTCCAACACGGTGTTTTGCAACATCTTTACCATCCTGCTGCTCCACAGCAAGCTACGCTTAGACTCTGGCAAACCCTGTCTGTAGCCACCTCCGTGCCAAGCAAACCAACGCAGTGCGGTGATGTTAATGGAGACAGAAGCTGCAGATCTCATTTACAGCTAGCACGAGCCAAGATGAAGGGCAAACAGGGATGCTAAGGAGATTCTGCTACCTGGGGCTCGTGATCTCAAAGCCTGCAGCACTGGCTAAGGAATAAAACATACCAGACCCATTGTGCCTGAAAAAGGCAGTCTGAGACCGCATCATTGATTTTGACAACAGACTTATAAAATGACAAGTGATCTGCTGTAGGTCCGTAGCTGCCTTCCCTGCCTGGGTCACCTCATCCGCACAGAGCAGAAAGGAGCAAATAAAACCTCTCAAGCTCGGGATAATCTCTGTTGGATGGGGATGCACCAGCCTAAAAAGCCATCCGATATCCATTGCCAGTGCGGTGACGGGCTGAGGGCAGACCCGACCTGCCTCCCCTCGGTGCAAAACCCGAGCGGTACCGGCGGGACATGTGCGCCCGCCCGCCCCGACGCCAATCCCCCGTTTTCACCCTCGCTGCTCCCATCCCAAGCACTTCGCCCTCCTTCACGCACAGACCGCTCGGAGTCACGGCGCTCCCGCCGTTCTCTCCCTAACCATTCCACGCTTACGAATGCAAAATAAACCCGTTTTAAGAGGAAGACAAATCGGTTCCTAAAGCGCGATCCTTTCCCCCCGCCGGCCCCGGGGCAGGAGCTGAGCGGCCGGAGGCTGAAGCGGAGGGGGTCTTACCGCAGCCTTACCTGCGTGGGGGCAGAGGCGGCCGGAGAGCAGGGAGCGCAG